GGGAAGCGGAACCCAGCACTGGTGGAGTTGCGAGGTACACACACTCACACGCACACTCACACCCGCATACGCCAGCGCCTCTYCACCAAGTGGACCACTTAATAGCTGTGACCTCTCCAGCCACCGAGGGGACCTGTCACCCACAGCAGTTCTGCCTACACCAGCACATCCCACGGGCAGCCAGACTGCTCTCTGGGGGGACTCAGGGACCAGCCCTCTGCTGTGGATGGCAGCCAGGCCCTGGTGCACTGCCACTAGGGCACACCCAGCCGGTGCCCCTTTCCACATGGCTGCTTTGGTGAAATACTGCAGCCAGGCACAGGGCGCACACCTGTCATCCCAATGGCTCAGGATATGGCTTAGTGCCCCTGGGTTCAATCCCTGGTACCAATGAATGAATGAATAGTTTAAAAAAAAAAAAAAAAACTATAGATTGAGTGACTTAGACCTTGTCCAAACCCAATCCTTTCTCCACCACCACACTAGGACAGGGCTTCCACACGTGAATGTGGGGTCCATCCATAGCGCCACAGAACTCCCGTCTCTACAGATTACCCTACAAGTGACTTACACCATGCTGTGCGCTAAACCTCCCAACGGGGCTCCATGCCAACACCTGAAAGCTCTTAATTCCTGGACAGTGGAGGTCAAGGTATGCTTAGGTGGCATTTGGAGCTAATCTTAGCACTATTCACACTGGCATCATTGATGCCATGAGTGATGTGCAGTTTAAAAAAAAAAAGTTTCCGGCATGATGGCTCACCCCTGTAGTCCCAGCAACTCAGGAGGCTGAGGCACAAGGATCACCTGTTTGAGGCCAGCCTGGGCCACTCAGTGAGGCCCCTCAGCAACTTTTGAGACCTGGTCTCAAATAAAAAGGACTGGGGATGTAGCTCAGTGGTTAGGCACCCAAGTTCAGTCCCTGGCACCAAATACAAGAGTCAAACAAGCAACCAGAGGTGTAGAGAGTGCTTGCCCAGCATGTGCAGGACCCTGAGCTCCATCTCCAGCCACACACACAGACTGTTCCAAAGAGCAATTCAGTGATCACCTGGGGGCAGGGAGCAGGGACAGGAATTGCCACAAAAGGCCACCAGTGGCTTGTGAGGGGGATGATCAGGCTCCCCAACAACAGGGGTAAGTTTTACAAGTGTAGATACGTGTCAGTTTTGAGGGGTGCTGGGCATTGAACCCAGGGGTGCTCTATCCCTGAGCTACTTCCACAGCCCTTTTCATTTTTTGAAACAGGTTTCACTAAGTTGTTTTTTTTTTTTTTTTTAAGAGAGAGTGAGAGAGGAGAGAAAGAGAGAGAGAGAGAGAGAGAGAGAGAGATAATTTTTAATATTTATTTTTTAGTTTTCGGCAGACACAACATCTTTGTTGGTATGTGGTGCTGAGGATCGAACCCGGGCCGCACGCATGCCAGGCGAGCGCGCTACCGCTTGAGCCACATCCCCAGCCCTCACTAAGTTGTTGAGGCTGACCTCGACCTTGCAATCCTCCTGCCTCAGCCTCCCTGGCTACTTGGATTCCAAGCATGCACCACAGCAGCCAGCAGATGTCCATCAAAGGTTAACAAGCTGCACCCTCAGAACACGTGCCAGTCATTATTGATTATAGCCTCATTAAAAACTGTTTAAAAGACTGGTCTGTGCAACGGGACTGTGTCCACCCATCCTGTTTCTTTCTCACCAGCACTACTGTCCCTACCAAGTGCTACGCTATCCATCCCGGCACCTGTCCCAACACTGCTGGGCTCCCAGCCACGGACTGCCAGGCTGCTTGCAGGCAGCACCCCAATGACCACCCCAAACTGCCCCCTATGGAGCCGTGGGCAGTCTTCTCTGCAAATGTTTGCTAAGGAAAGGAGTTTCAGCGTCCAGGGACACCCTGGCTCCGGCTGGGGTGGAGACTGGACACCACAAGGGCTGCCAACCCAATGGGTGATACAGGACACCTGCCAAAGTGTGTGTCAGACAAACCAGCCATTTCTAGTGTGAGCTGCAACGCATCTCAGTCAACATGAAGACTTGCGGCCTTCTGCTGCGAAGGCCCTGCTGGGTTATCTGAAATTTAAGTTCAACCCTTCTCTGTTTTACCTGGCAACCTATTTCTAACTGAACACTTAAATTCAAGGTTTTCTGACCCTTCTCAGATTGGGAAATAAAATCACAGAACTGACATAACACATTCAAATTGGATAAACCCCATGAATGCTCAGATAATGTGCCAAAGTATATTTAAGAAGTTCAAGCCAGGCACAGTGGCACAGGCCTGGCACCCCAGTGACTTCGGAGGTTGAAGCACAAGGATCACAAGTTTGAGGCCAGCCTCAGCAACTCAGAAAGCCCCTAAGCAACTTCATGAGACCCTGTCTCCAGATAAAAATAAAAAGGGCCAGGGACGTGGCTCAGTGGTTAGGCGCCCCTGGGTTCCATCCCTGGTAGCAAAAAAATTAAAAAGTCCATACAACAAATTACAATAAACATTTATTAAGATGTAATTTTCACAATATTTTAATTCTGTTCTGAAATCAATCTACAAATCTCTCCACATAACACCAAAGCCAGTGATTTAATAAATAAGAGGAATGTACAGATCACTTTGCAAAAAAAATAAAAAAGAAAAAATAAGCCAGATAACATTTACATCTATAGATCAGTAGAACCCACCACCCAGGGCACATGGAACTCACACGGGCTGGGCTCGCCTCCCGCCACACAGACCAGACGACGCAGACTGGGCCAAACAAACTGAGTGCACAGAAAGCCGACCACCAGACAGCACACCTCGAGTGTGCGCCATGGTGGGCACCACACAGTGGGGCTTCCAGCTGGGAAGAGAAAACTTGGCAAGGTCCTAGGCATGCACCCAACCATCACAGGAATCGATCTAGTCACAGGGACACAGGGACACAGGGACAACGCTGTGGAGAACTACAGTGAAACCTCAGGAGCTGCAGAGACAGGGGGACGCGTGCTTGGCAACATCAAGTTTAACCCTTCTCTGTTTTACCTGGCAACCTATTTCCAACTGAACACTTAAATTCAAGGTTTTGTGTTCAGCCGACTGGGCAAATCACAAACCGGTTCTGTGCTACCTGAGAACTGGTTTGGGGCGTGGCCACCTATGGGAATGCAGGGTGCTGAGCAGCCTCGGGTACCAGGTTGACAATTTTAAGGGGACTATGTTGGGTCCGGTAAAAAGCACACAATTCAGCTATTCACAAGCAAAGAGCAAGAAGTCCAAGCAGTCAAAGAGCCAAAAATAAAAGTTCCCCAGGATGATAATATGCCTTTTAAAAATCCATGGCTGTGGGCTGGTGGGCCACTCCGTCAGTGCCAGGCGCCAAACAAGCAAGCGAAAAGGGGCAGGGGGCTCAACACTCAGGAGACTTTGGAGGTCCCTCTAATGCAAGATGGATGGCAAGAGCTGGCTTTGTGACCGGCAGACTCAAAACCCACCAGGAGAAACTATCAGTGTCTACCTGGAAGCCAGATGTCACTCATCAAGGCATCTTAAGAACTAGCAAGAAGTGCACACAGAGCCACACGCCTGTAATCCCAGCAGCTCAGGAGGTGGAGGCAGGAAGATCGCAAGTTCGAGGTCAACCTCAGCAACACAGTGAGAACCTGTCTTGAAATGATAAATAAAAAGGGCTGGAATGTGGCTCAGTGGTAAATTGTGGTAAATCCCCAGGTCCGAACAAACAAACAAACTAGCAAGGATTGCGGAGAGGAAGCACTTCAGGATGCCCCTGGCGACGAGGCACAGCCCTGTCCCCAGACGCTGTGGAGAGTCATCTCCACGAGTCATTCCTAACCCCCTGCAGGCCCGCTGACCCCAGGACCAACCAGTGGCCAGAGCAGGTGTCACTGTCCCTGAAGAAGTTCTGCTACGGTTCTCCTGGCCTCTCACCCAATCCCCATGTTCTCAGTTCCCATCTGGTCACTTCCTGGCCGGCACCCAGGCCTGTCCCAGTTTCCCATCCCTCTGGTCGTGACCCATGTGGCCTAATGGGGACCCATATTAAAATTTTCCAATGGCAGCCACCTCCAGGTACTATCACCAACCCTGGTGTGGAGGAAGCCCTGGGCACCATCCACTAGGCCAGTTTTCAAGACCCCCCCCCCCCCATGGCTGTACTTTGATGCCAGAGACCACAGGGAGCCACGCACAAAGCAAGAGCTGGATAAGGCCACCAGGCAGCGCTCGGGGCCAGGCTTCTGCACCCAGAGCAGCTCCAGATGCCCCACCCAGGCGGCCACCCAGACCCAGTGCTCCAGAGATGGCCCCCTCTTCCTTTCCTGGGCTCCTTTCTGTCCTTGGTAAAGCGAGTACTGTGATACTGAAGCTCTGGGAAATGAACACTGGTTAAGTTTGAGATATTTAAAAAACTGACCCTTAATCATGACAAGAGTCGTGGCAGTTGCCATCAAAACAGTTTTTTTTTTTTTTTAATATTACATTCAGTGAAGTGCTGCACTAATATATTCTAAAAAGGTCTCTCCTCGAAGCTATGAGTTATGGTACAAAAATACATTTTTTCACATACAAAAGAGAGAAGAAAGAGAGATGTTGGGGGGAGGCCAGATACTCTACAAGCTTCCACGAGTGGGGTTAAGAATACACCCAAACAGCCAGGCACAGTGGGCACGCCTGTGATCCCAGCCACTCCGGAGGTCACAACTTGGTGAGGCCCTGTCTGGGGTTAGTGAGGCTGGGGCTGTGGGTCAGTAGCAGAACACCACTGGGTTCAATCCTCAGTGCCAAAAAAAGAAATGTACTCAAACAAAGCAAAATTTATGCATTAAAAACTATTCAAAATTTTTCAGGCCTGGGCCTGGGGCAGGGCTGGGGCAGGGGTAAGGGGGGTAGGAGGGGTGGAGGGGGTAGGAGGGGCAGTGGGGCCTGGGGCTGGGCTGGGGCAGGGCTGGGCTCAGTGGTGAAGCGTTTACACAGCCAGGAGCAGGGCCCTGGGTTCCACCCCAGCACCAAAACCCAAGACAAACCTTAAACCTACCATCTCAGGGTTTCTATCAGAATTTCAAATAATGTTCTACCCTGAAATGATACTGGTTAATGATAGTTTCTTCATTAAAAACGAAGACATCTTTTACTTGAGTATATCAAACTATAAATGTGGCTTCAGAGCTGATACGTGGCGAAACTGAAGAAAACACTGTGTGCTTTCCACAGTGACTTTTGGCCTCACCCCGCCAGCACCCAGAGGCACACGCCTTCCGACTGCCCAGGAGTTAAAAAGATGATGGCTCCAGAGTGGGAGGAATGTGGGCAAAGGTTGGGGTGGATGTCACACCTGGACCAGGGACAGCTCAGGCATGATGACCTCAGGCAGAGGAGCCCCTGAAGGGCAGGACTCACCAGTGCTGTGCACAGAACCGACCAAGGTGTGCAAAGCCATCTTTGGGTACCACAACCTGGCATAGCCAGACCTACGCAAGGAAACAGGCTTACGAGGGCCTCAGGCTGCATGTATAAGGGGACAGCTAAACGACAAAACTGGATGCCAATCAATACAGATTCTCCCAAGCCAGCCCCAGAACAGGGGTGGGTCCCAGGAAGCGAACCCAAAGCTGGAGTCTGAGTTGGAGACACCTTGGGGAAAGACCTTCAGACTCACCCTCTGAAGCATCTGCCTCTGCCTCCCGGTACTTGAAAAGGAAAAGGGAGGGTCGCTGACGCACAGCTCCAAGAGGCACAGCTCCAAGAGTCGGGCATACACAGTACATTCTGGATGGCACCTGGGGCCTTGTGCTCAGAGCAGAGGCACCGCCACACAAGGCTGCGTGGGCCCAGGGAGGGACACAATGTGCAGCTGCAATCCCACCTGCTCCAGAGCCTCATCCCGCCAGGGCTCATCGCCTTGCCCGACAGGGTCCAGCAAAGGGCGAGTCCACCAGCCCCCATCCCGCACCTCGCCTGGGATGCCCCAGCCGTCCACCTGCAGTGTTCCCCGCTACCCCAGAGCCCACCCAAAGGATCCTGCACAGAAAGCAACCAACGTGTGGGTTGTAAAGATATCCAGAAAAACAATTCTGATCCCCTCCAGGGCCTGTTTATCCTGAGAACGTGGAGAAGCAGCAGTGGCAGGACTGGAAGACAGTGCAGTGGTACCAGCCATGGCCTTCACTTGTCCCCCAAGATCCCAAGTCACCTGGGCAAGATGGGCCAGGGGATAGACACCCTCGGGGACAGCTCTCCCACACAGGCCTCACCCCCAAGTGGCAAAGGCAGGTGGCTCCAGGCCCCTGCTCGGCCTGCAAGGCTCCACCAGGCGGTTTGGCGCCAAGTCCCAAATCCCTGAGCTTCTTGGCTCTGTCCGTGCATTCTCCTTCCAGAAATGCTGAGGTTAAATGCATTACGACACAGGGGCAGGAAGACCTGGGGCTCCCACGAATGATGGTTTCTTCATTTAGAAAATACGACAGACAGGACTGGCGGGGTTCCCAGGATCCAAGAAGTTGAGCTCCAGCCTCAAGCTCAACTGGCCCCGCTTAGAAGTGACAACACCCACCCACCAAGTCCACATCAGCCACCAGGACACACAATAAAGCTCACAGCCCTGCACCACAAAGAGAAAGCACAGACCTCACCCACCACCAGAATGTTGTAGAAACAAACACTGGCATTTAAACTCCTCTAAAAAGATCAAATTAACATATTCTCCCCTTCAGTGTGAAGTTCTCATAAACTTGACTCAATCTGCCCTTGTTTAAAAACCTTACAAAAGATGTATTTAAATGCTTGAAAAAATTAACTTTATGTTCTATGCACAGATAAATTTCTCTTACTGTACAACTAATAGGGTTATATCCTTTGTTTAAAAAATATTTTCTCTACTAACGACACATGGCGTGTAGTCTATGTGAATGGTCTCGCATCCTTCTTGGACCGGGTCCTAGGTTGACACGCGGTTAGAGACACCTCACCAAGCGGCTCCTGCGCGCACGGTGTTTATTGAGACTGCTTGGGGGCTGCTGCGGCTGCTCTTCTCCTCCTCTTCTGTCTTCTGGCCGGTGGACCCAGCCGGCCGGCTGACCTTCACTTGTCCTTGGAGCGGTCCAGGCTCTCCAGCACCCTGTTGAGGCGGATGTTGAGCAGTCTGACCTGGTTCTCCAGGTGCTCGAGCTTCTCCTCCACACTGGGGCCCGGGCTGCTGCGCCAGTAGAAGCCCATGGGCCCGGTCATGAAGTACACGGCCACCACGAGGCAGAGGGGCAGCACGGCGCTCTCTGGCTCACCCTCGTACTTGTGCAGGATGTACACGCAGGACATGGAGAACAGGAGGACCCGCACTACCCAGAAGAAGCGGCCGAACACCAGGTGCAGGATGCTGAAGGTGAAGCCCAGGGTCAGGGACAAGAACCAGTAGGCCAGGAGGACGACGCCCACCAGCAGCAGGGCTCGCGCAGGGCTGTTGGCCACAGAGGCTGGGCTGAAGTACTGGGAGAGGCTGGAGACTGTGAACAGAGCACAGGACAGGCCAGTTAGTCCCCGGGCCAGGGCTTCAAAGGCGCCTGCAACACACCAAAGACCCGTGGTGAGTCATGCCCTGGCCTCAACACTAAGCCCTGTGGGAAGACACAGGAGAACCCTCCTGGGATCTCCTGCATGGTGCAGGCCTAAACACCTCCCGGGGACACGCAGCACTTGCCTAGTGCAGACGAGGCCCTGGGTTCCATCCCTGCGCTGCAAAAAAAGAGAAAGAAAATGGCATTAAAATGCCTTAACACTGGGCAGAGCCTATTAGTCGTCCTTCAATTTCCATCCTAGGCTAGTGCACAGCTGCCTAAGATAGAGACTTCCCAGCCTTCTTTACAACTCTATAACTAAGTTTCTTGCCAAGAGGAGGTAAATGGAAACATTTTGAAGTAGCTTCAAGAAATTTTCTACAGGGGAGGGGGGATAGTAGACAATAGGACAGACAGCAGAATACATCAGACACTAGAAAGGCAATATGTCAATCAATGGAAGGGTAACTGATGTGATACAGCAATTTGTATACGGGGTAAAAGCGGGAGTTCATAATCCACTTGAATCAAACCGTGTAATATGATGTATTAAGAACTATGTAATGTTATGAACGACCAATAAAAAAAAAAAAAAAAAGAAATTTTCTACAAAAGGAGCAGACATGTGCCCTTTACCACCTCCTCTCTCTACCTGATGGAATGATGCAATGGCTAGAGCTGGAGGAGCCATCTTGGTCCCTGAAGAAAAGGAAGTTGCCTACGGAAGGGACAAAAAAAAACAGAAGGTGTGATGGCCTGAGGCACAGCAGAGCCATCATACCGCCTGACCACCTCTTTGTGAATGTCACGCACAAGATGGAAACATACCATCTTGGCCAGGCCACTGTGATTGAAGCCTCTGTTCCTCTGGGCCTGTGACTTACACGTGGGGTTCCTGTAGGAATGGAGTAGAGGCTGGGGCAGGGTTGGGGCAGGGCACTGATCTAGGCTTGTCTGCCTAGGTGGGACCTTGGGTTCCATCCCCATGCAGAGGGTTACGGAACGGAGGAGTGGGAGCTCTGTGTGCCCAACTCAGGTAGAAAGTTGAAAGAAGAGAGGAACATCCCTACTGAGACCGCCTTGGCCAAGCGGCCCTCCAGCGTGCTACCTCTGCCCGTCTCTCCACACTGACTACTTTTCCAGGTTGAATCATTTGGAAAATGGACACACCGAATCCCACTACACATCTTTTTTTTTTTGAGAGAGAGAGGGAGAGGGAGGGAGGGAGAGAGAGAGGGGGAAAGAGAATTATTTTTTAATATTTATTTTTTAGTTTTCGGCGGACACAACATCTTTGTTTTTTGTATGTGGTGCTGAAGATCGAACCCGGGCCGCATGCATGCCAGGCAAGCGCACTACCACTTGAGCCACATCCCCAGCCYCTACCACCACACATCTTTCAATAGAGTCATGGTCCTCCCCAAAGCCACAAAGCTGAGGTGACTCCAGGGTATGGCTCCAATTTCCCAGTTACCCAGGAACACATCTAGAGCTGCTTCCTCCCTGCCCCACAGGGCCACTGCTCTGACCCCCCCTAACCCAGGAGTGCCATGGCCGTGGCCCTTGGTCGTCTCTGCAGGCCAGTCTCCCCAGAGTTCTGCACTCTGGTGCAGCCTGCTGCTGCATGGAACAGCTGACCACGCCTACGGCAGTCCTCTCCAAGGCCTCTCCCCCACAACAGCCACCCTGAGGCTCGAGGGGGCCTCGGAGCTCACCACACTGTCAACCCTGCCCAGGACACGGACTCRGCAGGTCTGTGCCAGGTCTGCACTGGTCCAGGGTGAGGCTGCTGCTGCCGATCTGAGGGTCACACCCTGGGGTCCTGCAGCTTAGGTGCAATAAGCTCCATGTGTCTGGGGGTGGGGGTGGAGTATGTGGGGACATGCTGGAGCAGCCATCAGGACCCTGAGCAAGAGTGAGCGAGGGCCTCAGACCCAGGGCCCGCRTCCCTGATGCCCCTGCAGGACGAGCACCTCCCAGCCCCTGCAAACGATCAGATCACTGCCCAGCGCAGGGCTCAGGCCCAGAGCCCACTCCCATGAACAGAAGCCCAACGGAATATGGGGGCCACCAGGACTCCCTGAAAGCCACAGTCCTCCACAGGAGCCTTCCTGGGCACCGCCTGGCCCTCAACTGCACATGGCCTTGGCCCTGGAGCCAACCCTCACACCAAACCCCATGGAGGAAGAGTCTCCACAGCTCAGGAAGCCCCCGCCCGGCCCTCTGCCCTCAGCAGCAGACCTCAGGAGCCTCTGCTCACATGGCCACCCAGCACCACCCACCAGGAGAAACTAGAACTGGGTTAGCAACTTGTTGGTGACAGCAACAAGTGAGATTCACTCACTTCCTAGCAACGATGCGCCATTGCAGGTGCTGGGTTCATGTCCCCTCCACAGTCTGCACTGAAATCCAGACCGAGTGTGACGGCCACAAGAAGTTCTAGAGGTGACTGACCCACGATGGGGCTGGCATGCTCATGGAAATGAGTCCCCAGGAAGCTGTCCAACCCCGTCCACTACGCGAGGACACAGGGAGAAGACACTATCCGTGACAAAAAGGCCTTCACCAGATACCAATTCTGCGGGTGCCCTGGCCTTGGATTTCCCAGCCTCCAGAACTGTGGGCATCAGGCTGTAGTCCCCCCAGCTTAGAGGACGTTCTCATCGCACCCATGATTAAGACGACAGGCAAACGCAGGCGCCTTGCAGAACTGACAGCAGAGAGCGGGGGCACTCTCCTGCACCCCCAGGTCTCCCCACAGCTGGCCTGTGGGAAGAGCCCGGCGGCCCCTCACAGAATGCCAGCCACGCAAGCCCAGCACCCACAGAAAGAGCAAACAAACAGGCAGGACCAAGGTCCACAGGATGTTAAGGCCCAAACGATCGAAATATCACTTAAACATGTCGATACAAAAAAAAAAATTACTCAAGTATGTGTTCAACCCAGAGGTGTCACTGGGAAAGGGAGCGATTCCTTTGAAGGGGCTCAAGGACCCTCCTGGCATCCCTCAGGGCTTACTTTGAGAACCACTGGACCAGACTACAGGTCCAAAGCCAGATAACACGTGCCATGCTACCAAAAGACTACGGCAGGTGATCAGCAGATACAGACATCCACAGAGGCTGGGTGTGGCTCAGTGGCACAGGCTTGCCTAGCATGCTCAAGGGCCTGCTTCCATCCCCAGGACCCCCTGGTCACCTGCAGCCAACACGGCCACCCTACCCTCTACACCCCCCGAGCTGCAGCAGGAACAGTCATGTCAACCAGGGGATGCACTCAGAGGCAACCTCACGGGACATGGTGGTGCACACCTGTAATCCCAGCAGCTCAGGAGGCTGAGGCAGGAGGACCATGGGTCCAAAGCCAGCCTCAGCAACTTAGAGAGGCCCTAAGCAACTCCACGAGACCCTTTCTCTAAATAAAAAATTTWAAAAAAGTTGGGAATGTGGCTCAATGGTTGAGTTTCCCCCAACTTCAATCCCCAGTACCAAAAACAACAACAACAAACCCTAAAAGAGGCCACCTCACTCCTAGCTCTTCCAACCCCCGACAGAACACCAGGACCTGTGATCCAGCCAGAGCCCAGGGATACTGGACTTTCTAGGGCTGCCAGAACCAAGTGACAAACCCAGGGGCTTAAAGCAACTGACGCCAGTTCCCCATAGTTTGGAGGCCAAAGATCTGAGCTGATGCTCAGCGAGAGGGTCCTTCCGAGGCCAGGCAGGACCCCTCCTGGCTTCTGTGCTTGCTGGCAAGCATCGCCAGCTGCCCCCGCTGCGTCTCACATGGCTTTCCCCCGGGGTCTGCCCATCGTCTATGCCCTTCTCCCATGAGCTGTGCCCACAGAGCCAATCCAGACCAGATTCCAAGATCTGGCTCAGGTCGAGCACCCTCATCCAAGATGCCTGGGACCAGAAGCGTTTTGGGTCAGAGTTTTTCAGTTTTTGGAACAGCTGCGCAGATTTCACCAAGCTGAGCACCCCTAGTCCACGTACCCTAGATCTAAAATGCTCCAAAACATGACATGATTTTAGTGTCATATTGGTGATTAAAAGTTTCAGATCTCAGGGGCTGGGGTGTAGCTCAGTAGGCAAGTGTGTGCTTAGCACGCAAGACACCTGGGTTCCACCCCAAGACTTCAAAAGAGGGGGAAAAGAAAGAAGGTTCAGCCTGTACCTGAAAAATGTGTGATTTCTATGCTGATTACAAGTTGAGAAGGTGACATTCTGGCTCAGCCTGTACCTGAAAAATGTGTGATTTCTATGCTGATTACAAGTTGAGAAGGTGACATTCTGACTCTATTAATAAAAATACCTTCTCAAAACTAATTTTACCATTTTTCTTTTTATCCTTTCTAATCAGAACTTTCCTGCAGTGCTATGGATTGAACCCAGGGGTGCTTGACTTCTGAGCTGCACCCCAGCCCTTTTTATTTTTTAATTTGAGACAGGGTCTTGCTGAGTTGCTGAGCTGGCCTGGAACTTGTGATCCTCCTGCCTCAGCCTCCCAAGTAGCTAGGGTCACATCCGCCACCACCTGGAAAACTCAATGCTGTGTTTGCTTCTTTTGGACTGCTCTGGGCCACCCCCCTGAAAAACTATGAAGGAAACCGGCCAACGGTGCTCAGAAGCCCTCGGTCCAGCACGTTCACCTCCGGCCCAGTTTCCAGGGAGAACTCTGTGTATGGAGACCTTTATGCCCCACGGCCTCCTAGGGCCTCCCAGTGCCCTGAGGTTTGTGAGTGGAGCAGAAAGGACAAAGCTGGAACTTGGGGAAGCCTCTGCAGGTGGCTGCTCTGGTGCTTGGCCATGGCCAGGGGCATGCTCCCACACTGTAGGTCTTACAGGTTCGTCTCCAGGGCTCCCTGACTAAGAGGGAAGGCCTAGAGGCTGACCTCCAGGCAGCGGAGCGAGGACTCCCGCAGCATTGCACACGATTGCTGCGTCTGGAGCTGTGTTGGCTCAGCCAGGCCCCAGGGGCTAAGCACTGCACGGCATCCTCAGGAGGATGGAGCAGCGAGGCGGCCTCCTGGCTCCTCTGAGGTCTTTCAGAGGTGGCACTCCATGATCCAGGCTGGGGACTGACAGCAGAGCGTGACCAGCGCACCCCTGAGCAGTGCCAGGGCTCTGTGAGCTCCCAGGTCTGAAATCAGAGCTGCGCTTCCTGTGCCCACCTGGTGACAGCTTGGGCTGCCTCACCCACCTCCTTCCCTGGATGTGTCTGCACCCAAACTTCCCACTACTTATGGGACAACTGTCAAAACAGCGAGGGCCACGCGAATCCGAGGTGACCTTCCCAAAGCTTGCTCACATCTGTACAGACCTGTTCCCAAATGAGGGCCCACTCACACGTCCCAGGGACACAAGGCCACCCCGACTAGCAAGGCCACAGGACTGACAGTCTTCCTGCCCTTAGTATAAACAGAAGGCCCTCTGCGCCAGGCAGAGCCAGCAGGTGGGCAGAACACAGGCCAGGCTGAGCACGCCCAGGGCAGCCCCCGGGGAACACCCGAGTTAGAGTTTGCATGTGGGGTGTCCCTTGCTCCCGTCTCTGCAGCAAGGTCTAGAGGTGAAGTGATCATGAGTGCTGTGGGGTGATCAGCCCATCCTGGTGGGACAGCTGAGTGGGCAGGGACTATGGTGGGACCACCGGGAGCTGGGCCACGGGGGTCCCCTGGATGGCCACATCTTCCCCTGAGCCCCTTCCCGCCCTATGCTTCCCGGCCACTGCAAGGCGAACAGTGTCCCCACTGCCATTCCACCAGGTGTTCTGCCCCCGTGGGCCCAAAGCGATGGAGCCAGCCCATCAGGGGGTGAACTCCTAAAACCAGGAGCCCAGAGTGAGCTTTCCCCTGTCAGCCGCTCCTGTCAGGTGTCTTGGCCACAGCAATGACAGCTAACTGGTGCGGCCTGCTTGCCTGCTAGGAGCCCGGCCTTTGGTACAAGTGGGCAGTGTCCATGTGACCAGCCCCATACAGACCCGGGTGCTGACCCTCTACTGGGGCCACTGGAAGAGCACAACTTATGCAGCCTCAGGTGCACAACCCACAACTGAGGGGTCAGTCTGTCCTGCCTGAGTCCAGGGGGCTCCAGAAGCCAGCATCTGCTGGGCTCCCCGGGCAGCTTCTCTCTCTAGACGTGCTTGGTGTCCTTTGGCTCTAGTAAAACAAGCTGTGAGGATACTCCTAGGTGGAGTCCTGCGGCTCTCCTAGTGACCACCCACCCTGGAGGCGACGCAGACTCCTGGTGGAGTGAGAGGCTATAGCAGGGCCATGTGGCAGAGGTGGGAAGAGGGCCTGCCCAGGGACCCCCCAGATGGCCCACTGCCCAGGGCCTCCTTCCCCAGGACGGCCCGGAGCCGGCACCCCGCAGGCGAGCTGGGAAGAGCTAGAGAGAGAGGCTTCATGCTGACGCAGGGGACGCCATGGGAGACCTCAAGTGGGAGAAGGGCATATGCTCTGGGCATAAAAGCCAGCACACAGTAGGGCCATGCCCAGGCCAGCTCCTGAAGTCCTTGGATAAACACTGAAGGCTTTGCCACCCACCCTGCCCTGGGGAGAGGGGGACAGCCATCCAGGGAGGAAGGCACAAGGGTGGGACGGCCAGACACAGAGCCCCTCACCACCTTGCCCTGCCACCGGCCAACCCTAGTACTGAAATCCTCGCCAGAGGGCAGCAAGGGCCGGAAGTGCCCCAAACCCTCCTCCTGGCTGAGAGTGACTGGCACTGCTCAGGTGAACCACACGGCACCTCGGCCCAGCAGGCCGTTGGCCACCCGCACTCCCGCTGGCTGCGGCAACACGGCCCTGCCCCTGCCCCGCACCACAGGGCGAATCCAGGCGCTGTGGTGGTGCAGGAATCTCCTGGGCCCAACTCCCAGCCACGACCTTGCCCCTGGACTCAACAACCCCAGCAGCTGCACCCCAGCAGGCCCGGGGATCCCCACGACCCCTCAGGTGTCCTGATGATTCTGTGAGTGCCTGATTCTCAATGAACTCTCCCTCCCTAAACAATTAGCTTGTTTTTTTTTTTTAAATGAATCCCAGCAAACCAGGTCCCCATGATTTGCCTGGGAACTCCCCAGAGGGCACAACCCCCTCGCACCTCGTCCCACAGGGTGCCTGGGAGGTGGAGGCCTTGATGTTCACTCACATGCACAGCTGCTGAAATGAGAAGATTCACCAGCAACGTCGGTTCTCCGCCTTCAACTTTCCCACGCGGGGCTGACAACGCACTCAGGGCTGACACTGCACCACTGGGCCACACTGAGACTACAATAAGACAGCCCTCACCTGAGTGTCCCCCTCACCTACCATCAAGTCCAAGGACATCCAGGAGCTCCATCCAGACTTTCCACAAGGTCTCCACGAACATGTCCACTCCCAGCACGAACCTCTCAGTCAGCCGGGTCAAAAACTGCAGAAACAAGAAAATGGTCTCTATGAAGTTGGCCACGGCACCACCATCGACCTAATCTGGTCAAGAAGTGAGTGCTGAGCTCAGGAGATGACACCTCCACAGGAGGGTGAGCCACCCAGATGGCATGAGAGTGGTTGAAAAGCCCGGGGAAGAACTTGAACTTGGCGTGAGTGGACAGCAGGTCAACTACTGAGCAGGATCTGGCAACACGCAGCTTCTCCCTTCCAAGGCCAAGAGGCATCTCTAGGGGATGAGGCCTCAAAGCAACTGCACTGCGACTGCCATTGCTCCAGCAGTCCTGCTTACTCTTGGCCAGGTCTCTGCTCCTTTGCCTGGTTTTTCACTTCTGAAGAGTGGGAGTTTCTGGGGCTGGGGTGGTGGCTCAGCAGAAGAGCACTCGCCTAGCACGTGCGAGGCCCTGGGTTCGATCCTCAGCACCACATAAAAATCAATAAATAAAATGAAGGTGCTGTGTCCATCTACAACTAAAAATATATAAAATGAGAGTTTCTGTCCCAAACCTAGTTCACCTGGAGGTTGGCCCTCCGAGGGAGCAACTCTGACATCAAGAGGACAGATTCTTTAAACTCCAGCATGACAGCCTCCTGGGAGCAATCCTCCCACCTCAGCCTCCCAAGTAGCTGGGATTACAGGCACCGGGCACCAGGTGTGGCTTAACTATAGTACTTTAAGTTCTTGAAAGACTAGGAGAGAGGGGTGGGGTTAGATCAGCCAGGAGAGCACAACCTGCGGTCATGTGAGCCCGGCCTCACTGGGGCGGCCATGGGCTACCTTACAGATTCCTATGTCCCCGGGCTTCAGGGCTCCAGCTACCAGGTGAGGACTAGCACCCACCTCACCTAGTTGTGGAGAGCACAGGGTCAATGGTCAGTACTCCCGCTAACACCCAACATTCCAATAGAAGCCCTGATCCCTAAATGTCCTGTGAGGCCATCCATCTCTCAGCCTTGAGAGACGGCCCAGCTTCTCAGCACACGGCACTGTTAAGTGATGCTTGACACAGTAAATGTCAACCAAGACTGTCCACTCTAAAAAAGAAACTGTCTAGCAGTAAGCACCTGGCCGTCTGTCCCAGGACCACATGGACGCCCACCAACAGCAGATGAACAATGTCCCACATCTGACGATGGGTTACCCCAGGGCTGGGAGGAAGGAATGAAGCACTGACTCACGCCACATGGGGGACCCTCAAGAAGTCACACCAAAGCAGCAGGCACAAGGCCACACACAGTAAGACTGTCCGTGCACCAGGAACCTAGAACAGGCAGATCCAGCCAGGGGTTGTGGGGAGAGAGCTGAAACTCAAGAGGGCCTGAACCCAGCTCCGACTTTCCCATCATCCCCATGAGCAGCACCCATTTCCCTCCACCCAACCTAGGTGGCCCTACTCTGCTGTCCTGTGCAGGACTGCCCTGCCCTGCCCACTGCATACGAGTGTCCCCATAGCAGCGCTTCCTGCAGGCCGACCTGTCACTCGTGTGGCAGGCTCACCCTCGCGGCAGCACAGCCCACAGCACAGCCGAGGGGGCGCCCTTCCCTCGGGGTGCCAGACGGTGCTCCACCCACAGGGGACCACAACAGGCCCTGAGAGCGGCCGGGCCACKCTGGGCCATCTGCAGCGATTCTGACGACTCATTTAAATGGGGGGAAATAAGAGGCTTTTGTGAGGAAAGGTGGCAGACCCCTCGGTGTCACTAAGTGTCCCAGCAGCAGGCACCATGGGGACAAAGGGCATTGCTGCTCACACCACTGAGCCTGCTGGCCTCAGTTTTCCCAGCTGGAAAACGGGCCGGGAGGATCCAACACAGGACCTGCCAAGGCCCCAGCCTGGGGCCTGGTGCTCGGCAAGAGCCGCGGAGGTGGTCTCTATCAGACCCCCGCCTTGGAGAACACCTCCCGTGCAACCCGAGCCTGCCACAGGTGCTGCACCTGAGGAGCAGGTGTGTCCAAGCAGCACCTGGCAGGGCAGGAATACAAGTCCAGGGGGAAGGCTTTCCCAGGGCGAGAAGCACCCACCTCCCCCGAGGCAGAGTGGGCGGGAAGACGGACCTGGTGGAGGCCCACCTGACACTGGGGGGCCCTGTCCCTTCCGCAGGGCTGGCCTGGCTGCTCCCTGGAGGCACCTGGTCTGGATGAGGACAGGAGTGCCAGGGGAGTGCAAAGCCCTCTGCCGTGCCCCCAATTCAGGCGTTGAGCCCCTAACTCCAGGGCCATAGGTGTGGCCTCAAAAGGTGACTCTTTGGAGTCGGGGTCCCTTTATAGAGACGATTGAGGTTAAACTGAGGCATTGGTGTGGCCCGAGTCTAGCAGGACTGGTGTCCTTGTAAAGACATGAGGACAAAGGGACAGCCATGCAGATCCAAAGAAGATGGTGCTGGGCCTAGGAGGACCCAGCTCCCCACCACCTCAGTTCCAGCTTCCAACCTGGGGACACACGTCTCTGCTCTCCAGCCTCCCGGTGGGCAGCTCCGGGCGTGGTGCCCAGGCAGACCAACTCCAGGGCTGGGGCCTCAGGAAGCAGATCCATCAGAGACCCAAAGGGCCAAACTGAGCCCAGCCCCTAGCTCTGCTGGCCCAGGGAACAGGGTGAAGGAGAGGGAAGGCAAGTGGGCTGGGGACCAGCTTCAGAACCTGGCGCTGCACACCTGCTACCAGACCAGACTCTCGGCCAAAGAAAACAGTGTTACATCCGGGCAGAGGGCGGTAATCCCAGCCACCCAGGGAGGGAGGCTGAGGCAGGAGGATCGAAAGCTCAAGGCCAAAAACAAGGCTGGAGGTACACCCAGTGGCAGAGCCCTGGGTCCAACCCCAGCACCACAAATTCAGAAAGACTTAAGGGGGCTGGGGCTGAGCAGAAGAGCACTCGCCCAGCAAGTGGGAGGCACTGGGTTCGATCCTCAGCCCCACATAAAAAATAAATAAATAAAATAAAGGTATAGTGTCCATCTACAACTAAAACATATTAAACACAAAGACTTAAAGACCATCACATACACAATGATTTTGTTTGCATTCTAATTCAGAGACTTTGTAAAAACCCTGTATGTCAGGGAAATCAGAAATGGATTTGGGTTAGGCAACAGGAACTGTTCTGAGCTGTGACAATGGTATCAGGGTGACTAATTTTACAAAAATTCATTGAAGACACAGATGGAAGTACTTAGGTGACCTCGTCACTGTGTCTTGGGCTCTCTTTAAAATACTATTCTAAGGGCTGGGGATGTGGCTCAAGAGGTAGTGTGCTCACCTGGCATGCGTGCGGCCAGGGTTCGATCCTCAGCACTACATACAAACAAACATGTTGTGTCCACCAAAAACTTTAAAAAAAATAAATATTAAAAAAATAGGGGTATTGTGTCCATCTACAACTAAAAAATAAATATTAAAATACTATTCTAGGCCAAAAAAAAACCACCACAGGGGCTCTAACAGCAAAAGAGCACTTGCCACCCTGGTGGTGCCAGGTCTTGGGTTCGGTCCATAGTACTGCAAAAAAAAAAAACAAAAAATTTAAGCAGAGGCTGGATGTCCCCAGAGTGGCAGGAAGGGGGGGAGATGGTGCCCAGGTACACGCTGCTCTCCTCCCTACCTTTGCCTGTGTTGGACAATTATCAAAACAAAAAGCTGAAACAAGGGTCGAGGCCCCCACCAAGGGAGGGCCAAGGCCACTGGCGCCCAGGCTCCTCAGCCCCCTCTGGTGCAGGGAGAGCAAGGCCACGCAGACTGTGGCCTTCCCATCCCATCTCCCTCCACCCCAGCACACGCAAACTGGCCCAGGGGAAAACCAGGTCAAGTGTCCCCTGGAGCGAGCCAGAGAGGGGTGAGATTCTCTGAGTGAGAGGTTTCCCAGGCATCTGAGGACTCACCACAGAGGCCTGGGACTCCAGAGCCCAGGAGGCTGAGCCAGGAGGAGGGCAGCTTAGCAAGGCCCTAAGCAACTTATCGAGACCCTGTCTCACAATAAAATAAAAAGGGCTGGAGGGCTGGGGTTAAGTGGCAAAGCGCTTGTGAGACACTGGGTTCAAGTCTCAGCACCACATAAAAATAAAATAACTAAAATAAAGGTCCATCAAAAACTTTAAAAAAAGGAGCTGAGGTTGGAGCTCAGTGGTAGCTCGCTTGCCATATACAAATAAATAAAATAAAGGTCCATCAAAAAAACTAAAAAATATTTTTAAAAATAAAAAAAAAAAAGGGGCTTGGGACATGGCTCAGTGTAACAAGACCCTGTACTGAGCTGGGGGGGGGGGGGGGAGATGGTGAGATAAACCTAAATGGAGGGACACACATGCCGACCAGGAATGGCAGGGAAAGGGTGGTGTAAGCTGAGGGGCTGCCCTGCCTCAACCAAGTGACCCAGACCCACACTAACAGGCAGAGGAGGGGCACAAATGGACACTGTGTGCCCTGAGAAGCCATAGATACACCCTCTGTAGAACTCTCGCCATGGACGTTGGCCCCAAGCCTGACCCCAATGAGGCAATACAGTTTGACTTCTTTTTGGCACAGGGGATTGAGTCCAGAGGCACCTGACCACTGAGCCCCTGGGATTTTAGGCATGCACCCCAGTGCCCAGCCAGGCTGACATTTCCAGAGGCAGCCAGTCTGTTCAAACCACAGCGGCTCTCCCCTACCAGGATGGCTAGGATCCAAAGGCAGACAGTGGCAAGTGTCGACAAGAACTTGGACGGAGCCTCCTAGGTGGCTGGTGGGAGTGCAAACAGAAGGTCACCTGGGAGCCAGCAACGGCACTCCTATGTGAACACCCCAGGACCCTGGAAACACGCCACCCAAAATACTGCACGTGAACGATCATGGCATCATCAACGACACAATAAATGACAACCCTGTGTGTCTACCGGTGGATGGATAGATACACTGCCACAGCAGGAAGGAGAGTCTGACCCGTGCCAGGCACGAAGCTGAAGCCACCCAGAGTGAAAGATGCGGTTACGCCATTAGAAGGACCACGTACA